AGATGACTTAAGGATGATAAATACCACTAATGGACCTCTTCGTCTTCATTATAAGGTCTCTTTTGGTCCATTTATACCTCTCATTTCCATAAAATATCAACTTTTTAGGCCAATAAATAAAAATTTAGGTTCATTTTTCAGATACTAAAAGCAATATGTCAACTCTATATTTGTTGTATTAAATGATTGTAAGGTGTACATATCAGACTGGCAGGTTTCATCTGACCTTGGTTTCATTTTAATGGTTCATTGGTTAATGTTTAGTTTTTTTCTCGCCTGCAACGGAAGTTGCAGAAAGCGAGACATAGGGATAGCTTTTCCGGCGACGACGATGACGATGTTGGCCTCAACAATTGTTAAGTATTCTGCTTAAGTTGTTTTGATAGGAACAACTTGTGATAGATCAATGATATTTTCTATAAAGTTGAATTACTATCAGTCGGTCGACTATTTTGAGGCCCTGTCCCCTAGGACATAGTCCAGTGACTATGAATTAATTAATTATTTTCAATGTTAAGATTTCTGCTTAAGTTAGATTGATAGGATCTACTTGTGATAGATCAATGATATTTTGTATGAAGTCTCATTACTATCAGGCCCTGCTCCCTAGAACATGGTCCAGTGACTGAATTAATTGGCAATTTTCAATATCAAGTTTTCTGCTTAAGTTAGTTTGATAGAATCTACTTGTGATAGATCAATGATATTTTGTATGAAGTTGCATTACTATCAGTTCATATAATTTTCATGACTATATAGAGGCACTGCCCCCTAGGTCATGGTCCAGCCACTTTCAATTAATAAGCAATGTTTAATATTAAATTAATAAGCAATGTTTAATACTAAATTTTCTGCTTAAGTTAGTTTGATAGGAACTACTTGTGATAGATCAATGATATTTTCTATAAAGTTGAATTACTAGCAGTACATATCAGTTTGAAGACTATTTTGAGGCCTTGTCGCCTAGGACATAGTCCAGTGACTTTGAATTAATTATTTTCAATGTCAAGTTTTCTGCTTAAGTTAGATTGATAGGATCTACTTGTGATAGATCAATGAAGTCGCATTACTGGAAGACCCTGCTCCCTAGGACATGGTCCAGTGACTTTGAATTAATTGGCCATTTTCAATATTAAGATTTTCTGCTTAAGTTTGATTGATAGAATCTACTTGTGATAGATCAATGATATTTTGTATGAAATTGCATTACTATCAGTACATATCAGTTTTGACAACTATTTTGAGGCCCTGTCCCCTAGGACATGGTCAAGTGACTTTGAATCAATTAGCTACTTTCCATGTTAAGTTTTCTGCTTACGTCAGTTTGATAAGAACTACTTGAGATATATCAATGATATTTTGTATAAAGTTGAATTACTATCAGTACATATCAGTTTGACGACTATTTTGAAGCCCTGTCCCCTAGGACCTGGTCCAGTGACTTTGAATAAATTCATTATTTTCAATGTCAAGTTTTCTGCTCAAGTTAGATTGATAGGAACTACTTACAATCGACAACGATATTTTCTATAAAGTTACATTACTGTCTGTACATCTCAGTTTGTAGACCATTTTCAGTTCCGTTTAGTTTCCTTAGTTTAGTCCTTATCTCTTATATTTTATGCAACAGGTCAACTTTATTTGGTGTATGGAATGATTGCAAGTTGTAAATGTCTGGCAGGTATCATATGACCTTGACAGCATTTTCATGGTTCATTCGTCAATGTCAATTTTGTTGTTGTTTGGTCTTTCTATAAGTAATAGGTTAACTATATTTGGTGTATGAAATTAATGTAAGGTGTAGTCTTCATGTGATTTTTGTAAAACCTTTATCTAAAAGACTTTTAACATAAAATCAATTGTGATCAGTAAAGCAGACTAGTTGTTTCAGGGTATGCACTCTTGTTTCCTTTTTATATGACCGCAAAAAACAACGACGTCATAACAATATACGACCGCAAAAATTTTTTGCGATTGTATATTGGTATGACGTCATCGTCGTCCGAAGACACATTGGTTTTTTGCACAATAACTTTAGTTTAAGTGAATGGATCTCTATGAAATTTTACCATAAGGTTCAATACCACGAAAGGAAGATTGGGATTGATTTTGGGGGTTATGGTACCAACAGTTAAGGAAAAAGGGGCCAAAAATAAGCATTTTTCTAGTTTCCAGACAATAACTTGTGGAACAGTGTATGGATCTCTCTGAAATTATACCACAAGTTTCCATACCACAAAGGGATGGTTAGGATTTGCTTTGGGGGGTTATGGCTCAAACCGTTTAGGAATTAGAGTCAACAAACGACAACCACAGAACAACAGGCTCCTGACTTAGGAAAGGTACATAAAAATGCAGCGGGTTTAAACGATTTAACAGCGCCAACCTTACAAGCACTGAACTTTCCACCTATTTGTTATTTCATGTTATGTTTGGTAGCAAGATCTGTAACATTTTTGTACTGGTTTTTTGTCAAGCCTGCGACTTCTGTCGCAGAAAGCTCGACACAGGGATAGTGATCCAGCGGCGGCATTAACTAGCCACTTAAAAGCTTTATATTTTAGAAGGTGGAAGACCTGGATGCTTCATACTTTGTATATAAATGCCTTATATGTATGTTATGAAGTTTCCGTCTGTCATATGTCTATTGTCCTTGACCTCATTTTCATGGTTCAGTGACTACTTGAAAAAAGGTTAAGATTTTTATACACCCGTTTACGGGACGTATTATGGTAAACCGTTGACCATCTGTTCATGCATCTGTCATCAACATGTCGGACATTAATTCAAAAACGCTTTAACCAATATGCATGACACTTTGGTGAATTGTTTATATCTATTGACGTGAGCTCCCTTTTGTTTTTTATAAATTTCGGATTTACCGTTTCCGAGTTTGGGGGTTTTATTCATTAAAAAAGGGGGGATTTTCCAGTTTTCGGACAATAACTCCAACAGCTTTAACCAATATGCATGAAACTTTTGTAAATTGTATATTTCTATTGACGTGAGCTCCCTTTCGTTTTTTATAAATTTCGGATGTACCGTTTCCGAGTTTTGGGGTATTATTCATTAAAAAAGGGGGGATTTTCCAGTTTTTCGGACAATAACTCAAAAACAATTTCACCAATTTGCATGAAACTTTTGTGAATTGTTTATATCTATTGACGTGAGCTCCCTTTCGTTTTTTATAAATTTCGGATTTACTGTTTCCGAGTTTTGGGGTTTTATTCATTAAAAAAGGTGGGATTTTCCAGTTTTCGGACAATAACTCATAAATAATTTCACCAATTTGCAAGAAACTTTGATGAATTGTTTATTTCTATCGACATGAGCTCCCTTATGATTTTTATAAATTTTAGACTATACGTTTCCAATTTATGGGGTTTTATTCATTACAAAAAGGGGGATTTTCCAGTTTTCGGACTATAACTAAAAATGCTTTCAGCATTTTTTATGAAACTATGGTAAATTGTTTATAGCTAATTTTGTAAGCTCACTTCTGAATTTTATAAATTTTCGAATTAAGGTTTCCGAGTTATAAGATTTTATTTGTTTATAGTCTGACAACAGATTTACTAAGCATTGCGCAACAGCACAGTGTATTGCACAACAGCAAGAAATCTTTAATTGAATATAAATTCAATTCATATAACCAATTTCAAGTTCTTTGACTACATTTATTCAGATACCTATAATATGTCAAATATTTAATTTCAATCCAAATTCAGACCTGTATCAAGCTTGAATATTGTGTCCATTTTTGCCCCAACTGTTCAGGGTTGGACCTCTGCGGGCGTATCCAGCTGCGTTCAGAGAAGCAGTTTATTTGTAATGGTAATTTCTCTCTTATAATAGGATAACTATAGTTAGTATGTGCATACCTTGCAAGGTCCTTGTGCCTGTCGAACAGTTTTCATCTGACCTCGACCTCATTTCATGGATCAGTGAACAAGGTTAAGTGTTAGTGGTCAAGTCCATATAACAGATACTATAAGCAATAGGTCTTCTATAATTGGTGTAAGGAATGATTGTAAGGTGTACATGTCCAACTGGCCGGTGTCATCTGACCTTGACCTTATTTTCATGGTTCAGTGGTTAGAGTTACGTTTTTGTGTTTTGGTCTCTTTTTCTAATTCTGTATTCAATAGGTCAGCTATATTTGGTGTATGGAAATATTTTACGATGAACATGTCAGTCTGGCAGGTTTTATTTGACCTTGACCTCATTTTCACGGTTCATTGCTCAGTGTTAAGTTTATATGTTTTGGTCTGTTTTTCTTAAACTATAAGCAATAGGTCAACTATATTTGGTGTATATGTCTATCTGGCAGGTATCATCTGACCTTGACCTCATTTTCATGGTTCATTGGTCAATGTTAAGTTTTTATGGTTAAGTTTGTTTCTTAGATACCATAAGCAATATGTCAACTATATTTAATGCACAGATTGATTGTAAGGTGTACATGTCTGTCTGGCATGGTTCATCTGACCTTGATCTCATTATCATGGTTCATTGGTCAATGTTAAGTTTTCCTGGTCAAGTTCGTTTCTAAGAAACTATAAGCAATAGGTCAACTATATTTTGTGTATGGAATGATTGTAAGGTGTACACGTTTTTCCGGTTTGGTTTATCTGACCGTGACCTCATTTTCTTGGATCATGTTAAGTTTATGTGATACTTGAAGAAAAGCTTTATATTTAGGACTATCAACATAAAATCAATGATCGGTAAAGCAGGTGAGACATTTCAGCGTGTGCACTCTTGTATTTGCAATAACCTCATTTGGTCTTATAAATTAAGAAACTGTTCACAGCAAAAATGCTTAAAAATGTCAATATGACAGAAACCATCTGCTGACCCCTTATAGTAGTAATTGTGATTACTGTTTATGGAAAATAGTTGAGATGTAACTAGAATTTCTCCTTTTGAGAGCAATGTTTTTGAGTTCCTTAATATTTAAAAAAAAATAAATTTAGAATGTTTTTTTTTTTACTTTTCAGATGACAAACGTTTGAGCGATTACAAAATATCTGATGGAGACAAACTGTTTCTGTTTCATAAGAAAAGACAAATGACCTTTACTACACCAGATGCATGTGCAATATCAGCTCAAAATATAACCTGGGGAAAATTAGAAAACTTTTTGAAAAGACATTTTACTCATCAAGATGCTGAAAAAGTAGCAACAGAATTTAAAAAGGTAATAGATTAGCTCGTCATAGATACAAGGATTAAAACTATATGGCAGCCGCACGTTTTGTCTACAAAAGTCTCATCAGAGACGCTCGAATAAAAACAAGATCAAAGAGGTCAAATACAGTCCGAAGTTGAAGAGCATTGAGGACCCAAAATTTTGAAAGGTTTTGCCAAATACAGCTAATCTTTTCCTGGGGTAGAGTAGATCATGAAGATATCATCCAAATCGATACAGTGCAGCTGAATTAAAGATTGCAGAAGTAGGTTTTGCTCAAGTTTGTCCATGGTTAAACTACAGGTAGAAGTTGGAACGGGGACCCATGGAGTTATTTCCCCCATTGAAACGCATTGAAAATTTGGTGCTGGTCAATAAATAGTTTTGATAGCCACCTTAGGACTTCTGTTTCATGTTAGGCATTGGTTTCGAAGTTTCTAAGTACAATCTTGGTGCCTCATTGTTGTTTTGATTGAAATCAGGGTCAGTCAGTCTACTTCTGGAGAAGAATAAAGAATTTAGGCAATTTACTCTATGTACTGACGCCAGATTACATTTAAATTAATCAAAATTTTTACAGAAATTCAAACTAGAAAGCCTACCCTTTCAAATAAATCTACATTCAGTTACAGAACTTGTGTAATAATAACACTACACCATTTTAAATAAAAGTTATAATTCTTTTTAAGAACTACATTCGTGGGTACTGGACTGGTTGCCGTAACTGGGATCCTAATCCAGTTATTGCATCGGTTTCTTATATCAACAGAATGAGGTCATGCAATTATCTTTGCTAGGACGTGGTAGTATCGTAGTAAGGACGACAAGAGCGTAGTAGCAGCGTACTATTGTCTTCCTCATCGTATTATAATCGTATCAATATCGTAGTAGATGCGTAATAAAGACGTAGTAAAATCGGGATAGTCGCAGTGAAATCATAGTAAGGTCGCAGCGAAATCTTTTCCATTGGTTTCCTGATTGCACCACGATTTCCAATACGATGCTTCTATGGCCATCCCGATATTACTACGACCTTCCTACGCTTCTACTACGACTAGTTTTTGCCACGACTGCACTACGAATGTTTTGAGCATGTTCAAAGTTGGTCGTAGACCTCCACGATCATGAAGACCTTGGCACGTGTTTACCACGACTATCACGATCTTACTACGACTTCAAACAATTTTCATAATTTCTGAGGTCATTACGGGATCGTGGTCCTAGTGTGATGGGGGTATTATATCTATTTTAGGCTTGAAAATAACCTGAACTTTGGGATAATTTTATATTGAGAATTGCCTGTACCAAGTCAGGAATATGACAGTTGTTTTCCATTCGTTTGGTGTGTTTGAGCTTTTGATTTTGCCATTTGATAAGAGACTTTCCTTTTTGAATTTTCCTTGGAGTTCGGTATTTTTGTTATTTTACTTCTCATATATATTCAGAGAAGCTTTGAATGGCCCAAAAGAAGTAGTAGCTTTCAAAAGGTAAATCTCGCATAAAAATAAATGCGTTTTATTGCACAAACGTGAAAATTTGTTCATGGAAACGTAACAAGCCGACAATAATGACTCTTTGTTATTATACCAAAGGCAATATAAAGTTCTTCCTTGCTAAATAATTTATGAATTAACATATTCAAATCTATCTTCCCGTCGAGGAGTGGACTCATTTTGAGTGTAGAAACTCTAGCGTGATGAACTGCTGTAAAAACTTCCAAGTATGCAGTTAAAATATAGTCTGTGTGAACAATGAAGATGTAAGATGATCTAAATGCGTTGTGGAGAAGTATGGACATACTGGCAGCTTAAATGGCGTGTCGAAAATGTTCCACAGACGGGAAAGCTTTGATATCTGGAAGTGTGGTGTTCCAAGATATGATAGTGGCAGGTATGAATGAATACTTAAAACAGTCCAGTTTGGTTCTTATCTGTCTGATGTTGTTTGAAACTGAACCACTGGTCCTGGTGTTGTGGAAATGGAGCAGATGGTGAACAGAAACTTCTACAACACTGTTCCCAATTTTGTAGAACATTACAACTCTGTTTCTTATGGGTTAGTGGTCATTTTGGGTGTGCGGTGGTGTTCGGTGATGAAAAGACCGACCCGTTCCTGGCTCTCCTGTGTTCAAGTGGTTCCCAACATAGTTGTTTTATCTTGTTCGTGACACAGCCAGGGTCCCCTGTAAAGTAAACCCTGTGTCGAATCGGGCAACCTGGTGTTGTACATTTTCTAATTGCTGGATTTGTTGTTGCTGGTAGGGATCACAGACAGAGCTGGCATACTTGAGGACAGGCCTCACTAAATTTGTGTAAGCCTGGCTTTTTATATCCTTGGGACAATTCCTGGAGTTCCTACGCAGGAATCCAACTGATCTGGTGGATTTCGCTGTTGTCTGTTTGGTGTGCTCTCACCACGACGGATCCTTGCTGATGCTTGCCATCTGGGACACTTTTAAGGGTATGATCATGAAGATGGTAGTCGAACTTGGTAAGGTTGCGTTTCTTGCAGATGTGTATGAGGGTACATTTCTGTGGATGGAATGCCATCTGCCTATCTTTTCTCCATTTCTCCAATTGTGTTAAATCCTCTTGCAGCTTGATGTTGTCAGTGGTATGTCTAATAGGCCAATAAATCCGGCAATTATCAGCAAACAATTTCCATAACTTTTGAGCAAATGGAAGTTAAAGATACTGGACGGTAATTTGAGGCAGTATTCTTGTCTCCCTTTTTGAATAGTTATATTTAATTGAAAAAGTAAGCAGTTTATTGGAATATTATTGATTAATCTGGCATGTATATGACCCAGCGGTTGGAAATAGCCATTTTTTTTGTAGGTAATAACTTGAATAAGTACCAAATCTTTCAAAATTAAGGAAATTTTGATGGCCAACTGAGCACAGGTCAAGTTCAGATTTAACTGATTTCAAAGTCATTCTTGAAAACAAATTTTGTGTTGATCAAGTCTTTTTCAGAAGCTAGTTTAAAACAATTTTTGTTTAGAATTTTTTTTTGATGGAAAATGCAAAAAACTATTCCATTGAAACAAGTAGTGTTTTTATATGACCGCAAAAAAATTTTTGTGGTCGTATATTGGTATGACGTCGTCGTCCGAAGACACATTAGTTTTCGCACTCTAACTTTAGTTTAAGTGAATGGATCTCAATGAAATTTTACCATAAGGTTCAATACCACAAAGGAAGCTTAAGGTGGGGATTGATTTTGGGGGTTATGGTACCCACAGTTAAGGAAAAAGGGGCCAAAAATAAGCAATTTTGTAACTTCCAGACATAATTTGTGTGTAAGTGTATGGATCTCTCTGACATTGTACCACAAGGTTCCATATCACAAAGGGAATGCTGGGATTGATTTTGGGGGTAATTGCCTCCAAATTTTAGGAATTAGGGGCCAAAAAGGGGCAAAAAACAAGCATTTTTCTAGTTTCATGACAATAACTTGTGTGTAAGTGTATGAAGCTCTCTGACATTGTATCACAAGGTTCCATATCACAAAGGGAATGCTGGAATTGAGTTTGGGGGTAATTGCCCAAAAAGTTTAGGAATAAGGGGCCAAAAATGAGCATTTTTCTAGTTTCCAGACAATAACTTGTGTTCAAGTGTATGGATCTCTCTGAAATTGTACTGCAAGCTACCATACCACAAAGGGAAGGCTGGGATTGATTTTGGGGGTAATTGCCTCAAAATTTTAGGAATTGGGGGCCATCAAGGGGCAAAAAAACAAGCATTTTTCTAGTTTCAGGACAATAACTTGTGTGTAAGTGTATGGATCTTTATGAAATTGAACTACAAGGTTCCATATCACAAAGGGAAAGCTGGGTTTGAGTTTGGGGGTAATTGCCCTAAACGTTTAGGAATTTGGGGCCAAAAAACAAGCATTTTTCTAGTTTCCAGACAATAACTTGTGTTCAAGTGTATGGATCTCTCTGAAATTGTACTGCAAGCTACCATACCACAAAGGGAAGGCTGGGATTGAGTTTGGGGTTGATGAATTATAAGGGGGTTCAAAAAATTTGGGGGGGGATTTTTTTTTTTTCCTTTTTTTTCTTTAAAATTTTCCATTTTAAATTGGTTATTTCTGATTTATATATAAAAGCAAATAATAATGATATGGTTTGAATAGGTAAATTAAAATTTTTTAAGTTCTTAGACCACATTCATTCTGTGTCAGAAACCTATGCTGTGTCAAATATTTAATTACAATCCAAATTCAGTGCTGTATCAAGCTTGAATGTTGTGTCCATACTTGCCCCAACTGTTCAGGGTTCGACCTCTGCGGTCGTATCAAGCTGCGCCCCAGTGGAGCATTTTATTCTATCTACCATAAATATCTTATCATAAATATCTTACCATAAATATCTTATCTTATATGTTGCTTAATGTCAAAAGGGAAATACAAGAAATTAAACTACTGGTTTTCTTGAAGCTTTTAACTTATTTAAATTTTATATATTTTCAGGATTTCTACAACAGAATAGATAGTCTTAGTTTGGATGATATAGAGAGATTAGCCATTTGTCATCTCCTTACTCGTAGATGAAAAAGGAACTTAGGACTTTTGACATGGAGCATTTGAAGAAGAAAGAACAATACATGTGCTGGAATAATTAACAGATTTTAAAGGATTTTTATTTCAGATGTTAATATTTTTGATATTCCAACACAATGTTATATTTATTCAGCTTTTTTATGTTTTAACTATTTTCTTTTATAGAAATGAGCTTTGTTTTAGGTTGAATATTTTTCCATATTCTGTTATTCGTGTAAACAACATATACATTCATATTTTAAACTAGTTATAATCTCCCATATCCCTAAAATGATCCTTCCTTAAAAGAGATTTTTCCATCACCTCCCGTCATGTCTTACCGCAGACCCAAAAACCTCAAAGATATTCTAGTTACATCTAAAGTATCTAAACAAGAGACATCGAAAATAGGAGGTTATAAACCATGCGGAAGAGGCAACTGTAAGTGCTGCAAAGTCACCAACATCGAAACCCAATTGTCAGCACAGTCACAAAAAATAAACACAACATATTTATAACAAAACGCAAAATTGTATTTATGTTCTAACGTGTGGAACTTGCAAGGTGCAATATCTTGGTGAAACAGAAGTACCATTCAACATCAGATTGAATAACCATCGGTCATTTTATACAAAAGAAAGAAACTGCCCAATAACAAGACATTTTTTAAGAGAAGGGCATAATTTTGAAAATGTCACATTTCAAATCATTGACAAAAACCAAAATTGGGACACGCAAGGGAGACAAAAGAGAGAGAGATTTTGGATGCACCAGTTACAGACTCTTAAACCTGATGGACTAAATGAGAGGGACGAGAAAAGATTTTAAAACAAATCAAAACAATAATCTTGAAATTCATACACTTTATACAATATCAATAAATATGTTAAACTCTTTTTCCAACTGTGTGTAGTTAAAGCTATACAAATATGTTTTGTCAGCATGTATCCGATTTCACCTGGATAGATGCACACACCTGATGAAGCTAGTTTTTCTAGCGAAATATTGCGTTTATTTATTTAAAATCGAATAGAACTTTTTATGCCCCCGCCGTAGCGGTGGGGGCATTAAGTTTTACCCTTGTCCGTCTGTACGTACGTCCTAAAATTGGTTTCCGTTCTCTAACTTGAGTTTGCCTCAACCAAATGTTATGAAAATTATACACAATGCTTATTACCACAAAACACAGATCTAGTATGAATTTTGGTGGAGTCAATTTAACCGTTCTAGAGTTATGCCCCTTTATAAATGGAAAAATTGCAAAATTTTTAGTTTCCATTCTCTAACTTAAGTTTGCCTCAATCAAATGTTATGAAACTTATACACAATGCTTATTACCACAAAACACAGATCAAGTTTGAATTTTGGTGGCATCACTTTGACTGTTTTAGAATTATGCCCCTTTATAAATGGAAAAATTGCAAAATTTTTATTCTCTTCTAAACATCAGGTAATTTTTAAAATTGGAGTTATCTTCCTTTGTCCATGATTATAGTTGAATCAACTACAATCAATGCTTTATACAATGCAATGTTTAATTTTTACTTTCACTGATAAAACACAGATCAAGTTGAATTTGGGTAGTGTCACTTTAACCATCATTGAGTTATGCCCCTTTATAAATCAAAAGATTGCAAAATTTTTAGTTTCCATTCTGTAACTTAAGTTTGCCCCAACCAAACATTATGAAACCTATACACAATTTCATTACTACAAAATTAAGATCAAGTACAAATTTTTTGTTTCCGTTTTCTAACTTTAGTTTGCCTCAACCAAATGTTATGAAACTTATACACAATGGTTATTACTACATAATACAGATTAAGTACGAAATTTGATGGCGACCCTTTTACCATCCTTGAGTTATGTCCCTTTATAAACATAAAAATTGCTGAATTTTTCGTTTCCGTTCTCTAACTTTAGTTTGTCTCAACCAAATGTTATAAAACTTGTACACAACCGTTCTAGAGTCATGCGTAATTACAAATAGAAAAATTGCTAAATTTTTAGTTTCTGTTCTCTACTTAAGTTAACCTCAACCAAATGTTATGAGACTTACATACAATGCTTATTACCACAAAACTCAGATCAAGTTCAAATTTGTGTAGCGTCACTTTTACCGTTCTTCAGTTATGTCCCTTTATAACTATATGATATGCAAGCGGGGGCATCATCTGTGTCCACATGTGGACACTATCCACATTTATTTAATGTATCAATTAGCGTGTTTAAGTTATATTCTTAGTCATTAATATATAATTTTTTTTATATAAAAATTGCAGAGATATACATGTACATTGTAAAGGATGATGCTTTATAATTAATTATTCTATATCTGTCCTGTATCTTTTCTCGTCTTTTTCATTTTTAGCTCACCTGGCCGAAGGGTCAAGTGAGCTTTTCTCATCACTTGGTGTCCGTCGTCGCCATCCGTCGTTGTTAGCTTTTTACAAAAATCTTCTCCTCTGAAACCACTGAGCCAAATTTAACCAAACTTGGCCACAATCATCATTAGGGTATCTAGTTTAAAAAATGTGTCAGATGACCCCGCCAACCAACCAAGATGGCCGCCATGGCTAAAAATAGAACATAGGGGTAAAATGTAGATTTTGGCTTATATCTCTGAAACCAAAGCATTTAGAGTAAATCTGACTGGGTAAAACTGATTATCAGGTCAAGATCTATCTGCCCTGAAATTTTCAGACAAATCTGACAACCTGTTGTTGGGTTGCTACCCCTGAATTGGTAATTTCAAGGAAATTTTGCAGTTTTTGGTTATTATCTTGAATATTATTATAGATAGAGATAAACTGTAAACAGCAATAATGTTCAGCAAAGTAAGATCTACAAATAAGTTGTCATGACCAAAATTGTCAGTCGACCCCTTTAGGAGTTATTGCCCTTAATAGTCAATTTTTACCAATTTTTTGTAAATTTTTGTAATCTTTTACAAAAATCTTCTTCTCTGAAACTACTGAGACAAATTTAACCATACTTGGCCATAATCATTATTAAGGCATCTAGTATAAAAAAATTTTAGACGAATCCGACAACCCGTTGTTGGGTTGCTGCCCCTGAGTAATTTTACAAAAATTTTGCAGTTTTTATACGACCGCAAAAAATTTTTTGTGATCGTACATTGGTATGACGTTGGCGTCGTCGTCGTCGTTGTCGTCGTCGTCGTCCGAAGACACATTGGTTTTCGCACTCTAACTTTAGTTTAAGTGAATGGATCTCTATGAAATTTTACCACAAGGTTCAATACCACAAAAGGAAGGTTGGGATTGATTTTGGGGGTTATGGTACAAACAGTTAAGGAATTAGGGGCCAAAAATAAGCATTTTCTAGTTTCCAGACAATAACTGTGGAACGGTGTATGGATCTCTCTGAAATTATACTACAAGTTTCCATACCACAAAGGGATGGTTAGGATTTGCTTTGGGGGGTTATGGCTCAAACCGTTTAGGAATTAGGGGCAAAAAAGGGGAAAAACAAGGTTGTCCTGGTTAAAAGACAAATGCTTTAGTACACAACATAATTTAAAGCAGTGTTAGGGAGATAATTCAAATACATCATTGAAATTACCTCCCTTACACTGCTTTTAAATTATGTATAAAGTAATGGTTAATGAACAATTAAGATAATTTAAAACAGTGTAAGGGAGGTAATCCAGATACAACGTTTTGGTTACTTCCCTTACACTGTTTTTAAATTATGTTTAAAGAAATGCATATTTATAAAGGAAGACAAGTAAAAATATCTGCAAATGTTGCATCTTTTTTTTTACAAAAATATCCATATGAAAGATTTGACACTATCATATGAAAGATTTGACACTATATTTTAAATTCTATTATAAAATAGATTAAGTTAGCACTATGGTAAATTTAAATGGGTAATTATGGTTGCAAACTCCATTGGAAATTTGAATTGAGATTACGACCATATCTTGAGGGGAAGAATTTTTTGGGGGAAAAAAGGGAGGAGGGGTTGATAATAACTTGAACAATTGAACTAGACAGTCAGTTTGTGGATGTTTATCCTTTCGAGTGTTCCATACTTTTTCACAAGCGGCTATTCCTTCATCTTTTGGAATATTTGTGTATAAAGAACACACATGCATCGAAACCAAAATTGTGTCATTAGGTAAAGGACTTAAGGAATTCATTTTCTTCAAATAGTCAGTTGTATCTTGAATATGAGATGGCAGTTGTCTAACATGTGGTCTAAGGTGGTAATCAACAAATTCTGAAATTTTTTCGGTGGGATGGCCATTAGCTGATACTATAGGTCTCCCTGGAATCCCTTCTTTATGTAGTTTTGGAAGTAAGTAAAATCGACCGGCTGTGCAAGTTTCGTCTGGGCGTAGATAATCGTACGTATCGTCATCAATTTGTTTATCTTTATTCATTTCTGAGAGGACGTCATTAATTTTTTTGTTGATTTCTTTGGTTGGATCACATGTTAATTCTTTATAAAATTTAGTGCTGGAGAGCTGACGATTCCCTTCTTCGATGTAGTCTGCCTTGTTTATCACAATGGAATCCACCTAAAAGCAAAAACGATAATTTGGAATCATTTATTACATCAATCAAAGCTGAAGTCAGATCTTCAATCAGTGGTAAACAAGTGCGAAATATTTCAAAGTCAGAAAGCCAAGCCATGATAAACTTAAAAGACCGTGATGACATTGTTGTCAAACAAGCGGACAAAGGAAGTGCCGTTGTTGTGATGAACAAGGCAGACTACATCGAAGAAGGGAATCGTCAGCTCTCCAACACTAAATTTTATATGAACGTTGTTTTCAATTCAGACTTGTATATATATATATATATATATATACAACCAAGTCTAAATTGAAAACAACGTTCAAACCTATGATTGCGTTGGATAAAATCCGCAATTTTTATACGTGTGCATGCAAAACAAATGTCTTGGTAGAGTGGTCTAAATAAAGCACAAACAACATTTTTCAAACGGCCAAAAAAAGTGAAAAAGTATATTTTAACAAAACGCATTTGACTAGCAGGTCAAACAACGGATGTTCTTAAACCCTGCTGACTGCCATGGCGATTGCCAAATAAACGGATCACCAGATGTAAAAATGGATCTTAATTATTAATTTGATACCAAACAGAAAACAATAAACTTGCGGAAAAGATGGTATACCGGAAATATGAGGTGCAAAAATTTGTACACCATATCCGGATTTCGACAATTAATGTCTCTTCAGTGATGTTAGGAATCGAAACGGTATTTGGAAGGCCATATAATTTACCTCAATTTGGGATTGACTCTTGAATTTTAAAGAGTCAAAATAGGATGAACGGATCATATATACCCGAAGGCAAATATAATACAAGCCCAAACGAAAAAATATAAACAAGTCTAAATTGAAAACAACGTTCAAACCTATGATTGCGTTGGATAAAAACCGCAATTTTTATACGTGTGCATGCATAACAAATTTCTTGGTAGAGTGGTCTAAATACAGCACAAACAACATTTTCCAAAAGACCAAAAAAAGTGAAAAAGTATATTTTAACAAAACGCATTTGACTAGCAGGTCGAACAACGGATGTTCTTAAACCCTGCTGACTGCCATTGCGATTGCCAAATAAACGGATCACCAGATGTAAAAATGGATCTTAATTATTAATTTGATACCAAACAGAAAACAATAAACTTGCGGAAAAGATGGAATACCGCGAACAAGAGGTGCAAAAATTTGTACACCATATCCGGATTTCGACAATTAATGTCTATTCAGTGATGTTAGGAATCGAAACGGTATTTGAAAGGCCATATAATTTACCTCAATTTAGGATAAACTCTTGAATTTTGAAGAATCGAAATAGGATGAACGGACTCGTATAAACCCGAAGGCAAATATAATACAAGCCCAAACGAAAAAATATAAAAAACTCTAAATTGAAAACAACGTTCAAACCTATGATTGCGTTGGATAAAAACCGCAATTTTTATACGTGTGCATGCAAAACAAATTTCCTTGTAGAGAATCTAAATACATCACAAACAACATTTTCCAAAAGACCAAAAAAAGTGAAAAAGTATATTTTAACAAAACGCATTTGACTAGCAGGTCGAACAACGGATGTTCTTAAACCCTGCTGACTGCCATGGCGATTGCCAAATAAACGGATCACCAGATGTAAAAATGGATCTTAATTATTAATTTGATACCAAACAGAAAACAATAAACTTGCGGAAAAGATGGAATACCGCGAACAAGAGGTGCAAAAATTTGTACACCATATCCGGATTTCGACAATTAATGTCTATTCAGTGATGTTAGGAATCGAAACGGTATTTGAAAGGCCATATAATTTACCTCAATTTAGGATAAACTCTTGAATTTTGAAGAATCGAAATAGGATGAACGGACTCGTATAAACCCGAAGTCAAATATAATACAAGCCCAAACGAAAAAATATAAAAAACTCTAAATTGAAAACAACGTTCAAACCTATGATTGCGTTGGATAAAAACCACAATTTTTATACGTGTGCATGCAAAACAAATTTCCTTGTAGAGGGGTCTAAATACAGCACAAATAACATTTTCCAAAAGACTAAAACGTGAAAAAGTATGTTTTAACAAAACGCATTTGACTAACAGGTCGAACAACTGATGTTCTTAGGTAGCACTCCACAGTTAGAAAAAAACATTAAAATTGAACCACAAAATGTTTTATCATCTTCTATTCCTGGCTGTCTAATACATTAACCTAACTGTTTGTGTTATACATGCGCATATGTATGTAATCAGTATCTTCCATAGATTTGATTTTTAAAAGTTAAAATGGTGAAATATAATTCCTTTTTTGTGTATCCATGGCAACATTCTGCATTTATTTACCATAAAATATTGCAAAAAGGGAGGTAAAAATGTCACATATTTCCCCAAAATTTGGTTCAAACTAGAATTTCAATGCCTTTCAGTGATACCTTTTCAGAAACTGTTGATATAAATCTACCAAATGATCAAATAAAAAATGGGTGTCTTTCGCCTCATTTTTTCTTAAAATTTAATTGCAAAGTTTGTGCGACAAAAAGTTGGAAAAAAACATTACAAAAATTGCCGGACCAATATTTGGTATGGATATGAAAATACGGACTGTCATACAGAAAACAGCCCATATTACATACATTACATAATCTTGATGTTCCTATAAACCCACTATGAAGGCTATTTTAATCTTCAGCTATCCAAAAATGAATTTTATTCTACACTAGCTATCATATTTGAAAAATCCACAGGGGCCAAAATGCGAAACTACACACCTAACTGTGGAGTGCTACCTTAAACACTGCTGACTGCTATG